GATTGCATGTGAGTTAAAATCAGGTGATCAATGATTAGCGATGCAAGTGGTGCGTTATTTATGCAGGCCACTGTATATAACTCGAATCAGTCAGAATTCGAGTCAATTCCATAGTGTGGCCTGTAATTTTGCCTGGCACTTTAACATTTTTTATACGGCCTCCTAAATGTAGTGTAGGCCGGAATAATCATAGTGCTGGCCTGCATTACCAGTCATGTGCGCTCGAGCAAAAAAATTCTGACTCGAGTTACACGAGTGCGAGTCTAAGCTCAAATTTTGATATGAGCTGATTCAATAAAAACATCTATTTGTATTTACAGTAGTGATATTAGTATTCATTACGATTAAATATAACAATATAACTATAAATAATAAGGGTATTATAAAAAGATTGACTCTTGACTATAATACACCAAATCCCAAAACAACAGGATTTTCTGCCACGTCGTTCAACGCATTGTCTTTAAGATTTCGCGTTTCCTCCGGACTTAGTTGTAGAATCGTCGATATTACTGGGATTAATGGCTAAATTTATTTTTTACATGTAGTATTGGTTAGCAACGATAATATTGATAATGACTTGATTAAAAACAATTTTACAAGAATAAAAAAATATTTGGTTTATTTACCTCACGATCATCAGGTGATGTTTCAAAGAATCGCAACACGACGTTTTTTAAATATTCGACACTCAAATCTTGTCGCTTTTCGAGACGATCCATTTTTCGGATTTCTTCTTTTAGAACCTTTCAAATAATAAAATAAGTTAATTGTTGTTAAAATTGAATTTTATCGCTTAGAACGTATCGATTAGAATATATAGTGACTTATATAAGAAACTGATCATCATTTAAATTTATTAATAAATATTTTTTATTTTTAAAGACAATAATAACTTATATATGATGATCAGTTTCTTATGCAAGTCATTGTATGAATAAATAAATAACCTTTTCTTGTTCTTCAAGCCTTTTTACTTGTGCTTCACTTTCATTCAAAAGTTCAGCCATATGTTGTAGTTTGAACGTGAACTCTTTTTCTTTATCCAAAGATAATGCAACTATTGTAGCTTTATCTTTTAGTTTTTTACTGTTATCGACATCAACCAATAGATCCGATAAGGTGGCTATAAAAGTCCCATCATCAATAAAAAAATAAATAATTTTCGCTAAAAAAAAGTTACAATACTTACTATGCTGTCGGCCTTCTAGCGATGTGGTCGGAGCAGAATTACTAATATCCAATCGAGCATCCTTCAATTTTGCATCTCCATCCATAAAGTTCTTCGATTGTGTTGTATTTCGGCTCCGAAAGGTATTAAGTTGTTTCTGTAGTTCCTCCAGTTCTTTAGTACGTTCTAATAACTGTGCACGAACTTGCGATAATTCCTCACTTAGATTCTTTATTATATATACACACACGATTAGATTGACCCAAAAAATGAGAAAAATTGGAATAAAATGATCGTATATAATATATACCTCTGATATCCGCTGTAGCTCCTCATTCTCTTCTTGTTTTTTGGCAAGGTTGTTCTGGATATTATTCGTAGAACTGACCAACTGATTTCGAAGTTCCGACATAGCAGCCTCGTGACGTGTATTTATTGTTCGCAGTTCTATATCAATTTTCATATATTGCAAAAAAAAAATCTTTTATAAATTAGATAAAGTGTTTTTGATATATTTGAGAGGAACATTCTAGAAATATCTTTATTACCTTCTTTTAGATTCTGAATCTCCGTCTGAGCAACACGCAGAGAATTTTGCGCCTCTTTTACAGTTTCGACATTCCCTAGCGCGTCTAATTGCGCTTTTCGCAGTTCTCTTTCGAGTTCCACGTTTCGTGATAGCGCCCGTTCCAGATCTTTGGTGGTGGTGCGTACTTTGTCATTTGTAAGTTTTAGTTCAGCGGATTGATGCCTATAAGAATTGAAGCAAGTAAATACAAAAAAATCAAATATTGCAGAATAGCATTAATAATATATCAAACCTAATTTCAGTTTCCATTTTCTTAGATGATTCGGCTAATTCCAATGTTTTGGAGTCACTCACGATATTACTAATGCTGTTACTGCTATTATTATTAATCTGAGCACTAGTATTGTTATTCGCATTCTTTTCTTGAAGTAATGTATGAGCTCGTTGTTTGTATTGCTGAAACTCTGCTTTTACTTCAAGAGCTTGTTGATTTGCTAATCGTAATCGAGATTCCTTATTAATTAATAATCAATTGTAAGAAAAAAGAAATCGCAAATAAATAAAAAAAAAGTTTGCTCCAAAAAACTTACCAGCTGTTCGATTTGTGCTGTATGCATCCCCACCTGATTTAGCATCTCAGTTTTGAGACGACTAGCTGACTCTATAATAAAATTATTATTAAAAAATAATTGTTGTTTCGTTAGTTTTCACTGAGAAAAACCAGTATATAGATAATCCATGCTGTTCGTTAAAGAATGATTACGGTCCGCCGGCTAAAATAAATGTGTATATAATCGTCTATATCTTAAAGTCCAAAACCATGCGGGAAGAAAACTTCGAATCAAGGAAAAATCAATTCTACTAAATCAGCCTCATAAGTTATAAGCAGACCGAAAAAGTAGTATATACAGACTATTCAAAGTGCGTATTATTTTTTGTTATTGAAAAACCACAAACCACACCAAATAAATATACTTACTTTCAATTTCATCCACAGTAACTTTTGTTTGTTGATCTTTTTCCTTTAGCATCTCAAGGGATTCCTTTAATTCGGCAATTTCTGCGTCTTTTGCGGCTACTGTTTGACGCAGGTCATCCACATTTTTCTTAGCAGAGTTGACAATACCTGTGGAAATTTAATAGGAATTTTTTAATAATTTACGTGTGAAAGTGTGGAGAACCATCTAAATACCGCGCCATTTTTTCATTTTCTCTTCATGTTCAGCTATAAAAACGTAAAGATATTGCAAGCATAAGTAAGAACAATAGATATAAAAAAAAGAATTGGTGTATCCCAACCACACATACCTGTTCTTTTATTTAAAAGCTCTTGGACTTTTGTTAAGTCATTTTGCCGCCCTGTTAATTGTATTCGAAGATCTTTGACCTAATATAATGAATTCAAAGACAAACAGATTTATTGACGCGAATATGAATAAGTGAAAAAGGCAGAGTACTTTTCCCTATTATCTAACTACCTCTTCTTCTAGAGTAAAATTCTTATTCTCTAAGTCGTCTATACGACTTTGAAGGATGCCTGTTGGACTCTTTAAGAATTTACTGATTAGTCTTTTATATACGTAATGTAGAAAGTCAGAGATAATGAGAGTGGTAAGTATACCCCAGCTTTTAGTCTCGCTTTTGAAAATTCGGCTTCAGCCTTTAATCTCTCTTCGAGCGGATGGCGAAAATCTTCCATAACGATAACAACTAGTATATGGATAAGTCACACTACCTGGCAGATTTTATCTATTTACGGGGGAACACTAAAGCAAGGTAGTGGATTAAGATCGATCCAGATTAAGTCAATACAGATTAAAAAAATAAATTGGA